AGGCTGCAGCCAGGCCGCGTCGCCATGGGGTTGTGTCTGACATCTCCCGCGGAACATGTGCAGCACTGGCAACTAGAAGGGCGGCGTACCCAATGCGATCCTGATCTCTCCCAGGCCCCCGGGGAGGAGGAGGAGGAGGAGGAGGAGGAGGAGGAGGAGGAGGGAGGAGGAGGAGGAGGGGAGGAGGAGGAGGAGGAGAGGAGGAGGAGGAGGAGGAGGAGGAGGAGAGGGTGGAGGAGGAGGAGAGAGGAGGAGGAGGAGGGGGCGGAGGAGGAGGAGGAGAGGAGGAGGCGGAGGAGGATCACTGGGTTTCTCTGAGCACCGCAATGATATGTACGGTCGGGGACTTTCGCTTAGGGCGTCGCGGGACGCCCGGGCCCCAGCGACGCGCCGCGCCCTGGCGCGCGTCGCCCTGCCCGCTCCTCCTCTCTTCCTCCTCCTTCCTCTCTTCCTCTCCTCCCCTACCCCTCCCCCTCCCCTCCTCCTCCTCCTCCTCCTCCTCCTCCTCCTCCTCCTCCGTCCTCCCCCCTCTTCTTCTCCTCCTCCTCCTCCTCCTCCTCCTCCTCGTCCCTCTTCTCCTCCTTCTCCTCCTCCTCCTCCTCCTCCTTCTCCTGGACCTAAGCATTGTGTTTCGTTCCGTCCTCGTTCTGTTGTTCGTCTTGCTTCCCCTGTTTTCCCGTGCCTCTCTGCCAAGACGAAAAAACGGAACACGGCCGAAGGCCAGCAAAACAGCGTTCAGGTCCAGCCCGGACGTTGACGCCTGGGAGTCGGGAAGCGGCCAGCGTCTCGCGCCGAGGCGAGCTGGGCCAACAACGGCGGCGCGACGCGCTGGTCAATCCGGTCAAGGAACGCATGGGCAAACCTCCGTGTCAGGCAGCCCCTCCCCTGCATGCCCAGCAGACGGCCTAGCGAGGGGGGGGGGGTTCTTTAACGCTTTCTCCCCGCAGCCGCCAGGAGGTTCCCGGGCCCCCCCTGTGTGGAAGAGTTTACCCTCGGTATTGCAAATGTTGATGGGAACGCGTGGTCGCCCATGGTATAAGTTATCCCGAGTTGCAGCGCGCATGTGCTTATCCAGGAGCACATACTTCAGGCACGGTGCTCTGTAGATATGGCTTCAGCTTGGTGTCCGAGCAACGGCTGGAAATTCCTCTCGGTCCACGCACCCTCGGAGAGCGTGCGTGTTTTGCGCGTGGTGTAAAGATTTTGGCTAGATCATGGTTAGGTGTCCACCTTTCCCTTTGCGGCCTCATTGGGCGGAGGAGGAGGAGGAGGAGGAGGAGGAGGAGGAGGAGGAGGAGGAGGGGTCAGATCTTGACGTGTGATCGTTCCGCAAGCCCTTCGCCGACCCCCGGGGACACCCCCCATCGGTCCCAGCCCAGCCCAGCCCCGCCCTCGTGCCAGAAGGCATCCCAGCTCTCAGGAGAAACCCTCCACAGAGCCTGTGCGGGCCAAACTAAAGTTTTGGACTCCCAACTCACCAATGGCTAACGATCTGGGCCACCACGGTGAAGCAAAAACTTCCCTCTCCTGCACTATCAACCAACGCTTTGGCTGTTGCGCACCCTCGTTTGTCCCTGGACGCTATCCTGGGCCCAGTTCCGTGAATCATGGCGGCGGGTTCGGACCAGGCCTCCTCGCGGAACTGGCGCTGTGCGAGAGGGCCACATCGGGGCCATGTGCCTTTCGGTGTCCAGACTGGGGTGGTCGCTTGCAGAGCCCTTCACCATCAACGACGATCGTGCGATTAATGCTCCTTTCCTCCTCCTCTCTCCTGCTCTTCTCAAGCGCTCGCATAAGTCGGCCGTTGTCAGGGCTTGAGACTGTGAAGCTGGCACCACATATGGGATTGCATGTTTTGATGTGAATTGCCCTTCCCTGGCCTCGAACAGCTGAATGCTTAAGCAGAAAGGTGTCATGTGTCATTCGAACTCTTGTTTGTCAGAGTTTGTGGACTCTGGATAGGGCTAAACTGGCGGGTACTAAGTAGAATACGTCTGTCCTCTGTGCGGCAGTGAAGGAGACACTGTGTTCAATGGTTTATGATTCTGCCCTGCCTGTTAAAGTGAGCGGGTACAAATAATCAAGTCCGAGCTGTTGCATCGAAGTCTTGAAGAACTTGAGAGAGAGGTCCGGCTCCTGGCTTCCATATCCTTTGCGAGACGGGCCTCGTCCACTACCAGCGTTCGGACGTCCCGTTGCCCCACGTCGCCAAGGAATAACAAGACTAACATGTGTTTCATGTGTTCAGAGAAACTTTCGAGGCCGCTGGACTCCAGACTCCGTTCGAGGGGTTGCGGGCAATTTGGTGTACGACCTACCTGAATGGCTCGTGAGATACACGCCCCGCCCGCGAGCTGTCGCGATCTAGCTGGGATGCCATCATGCCCAATGTCCTGGGTGAGGTGCTTGTTCGAATGCATGGCACCGCCTCTGATATTTACCCGCAGACCAATGTTGCCGCCGAGTTTGTCGGTCGAGCGGTAGCAGCGAGTAGTTTGGAGGGCACAGCAGAATGTCTAAGTGACTGCAACACATTGTTGCTGATCACTTCGCCCACGCTCCCTCGAGACGGCTCTTCCCTCGCAGGCCCTGCAGTGGCCTCGTCATGCAGTGCCCGCCTCGAGAGGATTTCCAAAGTCAAAGCCCACCCCGAGGCTGATCAGCCCTTGGGGTGGGATCAGCGGTCGCGCACAGTGGGTGGCAGTGCGACCCTCCACCCGCAGATGTTGCCGAGCCAGCATGCTCGTATCAACGCTGTGGTTCCAGTCTGCAAGGCTGTCGCCACCCTGGCCGCCCACCTCCTGGACGCGTGTCCCAGGATAAGCCTGAGCTGAGCTCCGTGGGCGAGGCCTCCTGCGGATCTCTCGAAGCCCCCTGGGCCTGCGCATACGTGGGGTTGGCCGGGCAAGTTCTGGGAATGCAGCGAGTGCCTCAAGAGTTCTCGCTCTGTGCAGTGTCCTCCTCCAGGTCACTGCTCTCGCAAGCTGAAAACCGTTCCGAAACAATATTGTGGCCGACTGCAGCGATGACAGCTTCGTGTGTTTTTTTCCTATGCCTCTGGAGGACAGTTGCGGGGCTTGGGGGACCCTTGCTAAGCATATCCTCAGTCTCGTTCGCCTGTTCAGGACAATGGTGGAGCCGTCGGCAGGTCGTGGTCTTCACGCAATGCATGCAGACAGGCACTTTGTACCAGGCTCTGCAAAGAACTCCACCAACAAAAGATCAGAGGGCACAACAGACCCGGACAGCATCGGCCCTCTCTGAGGGCACTACGGCACTGGATGTCGAACAAGTCCTCCTCCTCCTCTTCTTCATCCTCCTCCTCCTGCTCCCCCTCCTCCTCCTCCTCCTCCTCCTCCTGCCGCTCCTCCTCCTCCTCCTCCTCCTCCTTCTCCTCCTCCTACTCCCCCTCTTCCTCCTCCTCCTCCTCTCCTCCTCCTCCTCCTCCTCCTCCTCTCCTCCTCCTCCTCCTCCTCCTCCTCCTCCTCCTCCTCCTCCTCCTCCTCCTCCTCCTCCTCCTCCCACATGGCGGTGGCTGGTAACCGGGCTACCGCTCCGCTTCCTTGGGCGGGCTGTAAAGGCCACCCCCTGCTCCCCCGGGAGCATCGGGCTCGCCTCCACTCCAGCCAGACAGGCCACGCTTCGTGGGTGCTGCCCCCCCCTCCCCCCCCTCCGAATGAGGAGGAGGAGGAGGAGGAGGAGGAGGAGGAGGAGGAGGAGGAGGAGGAGGAGGGGGAGCAGGAGGAGGGGGAGGAGGAGGAGGAGGGGGAGGAGGAGGAGGAGGAGGAGGAGGGGGAGGAGGAGGAGGAGGAGGAGGGGGAGGAGGAGGAGGAGGAGGAGGAGGAGAACCTCGGTTCACTCGGTGCCCGACCTCCCTCCCGTCCCCTCTCTCTGCCCAGCGGTGTCCACGGAGGCCCGCCATGGGCCCTCCAAGAGAAAAAGCAAGCACCAGAGGAGAAGAGCGCCCCCTTTCGCTGGGGGGACCCAAGACTCGAGCTGTGGGGACTCGAATCTGCTCGACGGGGCCGTTCGACAAATGACGGGACCTGCTCCAAGATTTGACGCGAGCTCCCGCTGCGAATGCCTCCCGATCACCGGGCCGCCACAATTCACGTCGAAACCGTCAAACAGCGGCGGCAACATCGAGTTCCGGTAAACTAAGGTGTTACAATCATCGCGCTACCATAGTGAACGCGCAATCAGAAACGAAGGGACTTTTCTGGCCACGGCGACCGCCGGCCACGAAGAGGCTGTCCGACCTGGATCTACGGAACGGCCCGAAAACGAGAGCCCTCCCTGAGCCCAGAATTGTCCTCCTATCAACGTCTTCATTGCACCTTTGGATCCCAGCACGGTGCGGTGACAGACCGCGCGGTGACTGCGACATCCGCAAATACCCCACCATGCGGTCCGCCACCGCGCCGTCTCGAGACCTTGGAGGCCCCACTTGCCCGAGACGTCCTCGGAGCACGATTGAAGTCCCAAGACCGTGCGGTCACCCCCAATCCCCACTGACTCACCACACGGTGTGGTCACCGCGCCGCTTGGCGGCTTCCGGTGTGCGTTTTCCCGCCTTTGAACCTCTTTGTGGTCCCTTTCCTGCAACCCTCGAACAGCCCCCCCCATTCCGTCAGATCCGACGCTGCAAACAAAACATACAACATGGCGAAAATCACGACCAGAGCCTCGGACCCCATCTCCCTGCGGCATCTTTCGAGCCAGATCGATCTGTGATGGCCCCCTGGCCCAAAACTGGGCGACAACGCCCACGCCCGGATCCCATCCCAGACATGCGACGTCCTGATTTGTTTTCAGGACAGCGTCCCTGGAAGTCAGTCCAGACCCTTTCCCCGGGGCTGGTTTTTCATCCTGAGTCGTTTTGACGGTCCCAGGGCCCGGCGAGGGCCCCCAGGGGCCGACAATATGGAACAACTTGCATTTTTTTCCGGCGCGATCATGTCTGGGATGGTCTCGCGCCCCCCTTGCGAAACGCCCGGACTTCGAGCCTGGATCATCTCCCGGGTCTTGCCGCAGCCCGTCGGGTGGTCCACGAGCATCCTCGAGATCGGCGAGCACGGGTGCAGCAAGAACGCCACGGACTGCTGGTGGGGCTGCATCGGGGGGCACCCAGAGCTGCCAGAGGGGGTCCTCGCGGGGCGGCTCAGGAAGACGACGACGACGACGTTCACGAGGACGAGGAGGAGCCACAATCAGTAGGACGAGGACGACGTTTACGAGGACGACGTTCACGAGGACGAGGACGACGTTCACGAGGACGACGACGACGTTCACGACGACGATGTTCACGACGACGACGTTCACGAGGACGAGGAGGAGCCCTACTCGTCAGAGCCACAATCAGTAGTCAGCGAACCAAGTCTGAAACGCTTTCTGCGTCGGCGGCCAGGCAGGGGACGTCTGCGCTGGCGATGGGGGACCCAGACGGGGATGCCGTCAGAGCGAATGGGGCCACCCTGCAGGAGGGGCGGGGAAGAGCGCGGCCGAAAGAGGGGCGGATGGAGCGGGCGGCTCAAGGGGGACGGGTCGCACCCCGAGAGCCGAGTCTGAAACACGCAGAGACGGCGCAAGGCCACCAACACACGCCGCACATCAGACTCGGACTTCGTCCACTCCCCCGCCTCCAACGACGACGACGGGGAACGACGAGGAATGAAGGAGGGAAAAGGAAAAAGGCGACGAGGGGGGCCCCCCACTCCTCCTCCAATTCCAAAGCACATGCAGAATGGGGCGCAAGGCCGCCAACGCACGCCGCGCATCATGCTCGAGGCTCCTCCACTCCCCCGCCTCCGACCTCCAACGACGACGACGAGGCGGACGAGAAGGGGAGGAGGAAGCTCCCTCGCAGCTTCGCGCGGCCTCCTGTGATTGGAGAGCTACGCGCCGCTCGGGAGGGTTGCCGTCCTGGGAAGGCGGGTCTTCCGCGCCGTCGGCCCTCCAGAGGCTTCTGGAGGCCTCTGCACACCCATTTTTGGGCACCCGTTTTGAAAAATGCCGCCCTTCCATGCTTGAGCATGTTGCAAGCTGATTCGACGAATGTGCGCGGCGCTAAGGCGAGAAACCCGTTTTGGAACGGGCCCCCTACATCCTTGAATCTGTTGCAGTCTTTGACAGCGAGTGTGAGCGGCGTTGAGGCGAGATCCCCATGTTGAAAAGGGCCCCCTATATCCACCTGTGCCAATGTTTCAAAACGAATGTGCACGTCGCTGAGGCGAGAGCCCCATTTTGAAAAGGACCCCTCTCCATCCTGGAACCTGTTCAAGACGTTGGAAACGACCGAGCGCGTCGCTGAGGCGGGAGCCCCATGTTGAAAAGGACCCACCTACATCCTTGAAGCTGTGGCAATTTGCTATGACGAATGTGCGCGGCGCTGAAGGAAGAGCCCTGCTTTGAAAACTGCCTGCTCTCCGTCCTTGGAGCTGCTGCATCTGTCAAGCTTCAGGGTGTGAAGTGAGGAAGAGGTCTCAGGCGAAACTCCCGCACCGCCCTACCAACACGCCTCGGGGCCCGACGGGGAGGCACCATCTAGAAGGAGAACGCACGGAGGGAACCACGGTGGCCACGGCGGGCGTCGGGCACGAACAGGTCCCCGATCTGGACCTGAGGAACGGCTCGGAACCCATGGTGCCGGAGAAGCGCCCCAATCATAATCTTTCCAAGGCTATGAGGCTGTGGGGCTATAGGGTGATAGAGCTATGAGGGTCTGGGGCTATAGGGCTGTATGGCTTCAGGGCTGCAGGGCTATAGGGCGACCAGGGCATGGGGCTATAGGGCTACAGGGCTACAGGGCTATGGGGCTAGAGCGGTATAGGGGTATAGGGCTATATGGCTAGAGTCTTGCGGCTAGAGGGCTATTCAGGCTATAGGGCTACAGGGCTATAGTGCTATAAGGCTATGAGGCTATAGGGCTATAGGGCTACCGAGCACCCGGGCACCAGGGCACCCGGGCACCAAGGCTCCGGGGCACCCCGGCACCCAATCTCCCGGGCATTCGGGCACCCGGGCACCCGGGCACCCGGGCACCCGGGCACCCCGGGCACCCGGGCACCCGGCACCCGGGCACCTGGGCACCCGGGCACCTGGGCATCCGTGCGTGCCGCCGAAATCGGCGCCACAACTAACCGAACTATATGATACCAGAGAAAACCCCAATGATACTTGAGAAAAACCGCAATCACAATCTTTTTAGGGCTACAGGGCTATGGGGCTATAGGGCTAGAAGGGTCTGGAGGTACAGGGCTACATGGCTTTAGGGCTATAGGGCTATAGGGCTAATTATAGGGCTATAGGGCTATAAGGCTATAGGGCTATAGGGCTTTAGGGCTATAAGGGTATCAGGGCAATAGGGCTATGGGGCCAGAGGGCTATAGGGCTATGGGGCTGTAGGGCTATAGGGCCATAAAGCCAGAAGGCTATAGGGCTATAGGGCAGGGCACCTGGGCACCCGGGCGTGCCGCCGAAATCAGCGCCCCACCTCACCTAACCATATGAATCCGCTAGGACCCCTACAGAGGCAAGCCCTGATTGGGGAATCAAGATCTTTTTAGGGCTATTGGGCTATGGGGCTATCAGGCTCTGGGGCTATAAGGGCTATAGGGCTATTATAGGACTATGGGACTATAGGGCTATAGGGCTATAAGGCTATAGGTCTAGAGGGTAATAGGGCTATATGCCTATTAGGGCTGTAGGGCTCGAAGGCTATAGCGCTAGAAGGCTATAGGGCTATAGGGCTATATTGCTATACGGCTACAGGGCAATCAGGCTACTTACGCAGGCCGAAAGAGTTTCCTCTTGAACCCCACATGTCGGAAGCGACGCGCCGTTCAGGTGAGCGGATACATGTAGCGCTCGCTCCGAGGTGGGGTCGATATGTTATGGGTGGAAATGTGGGAGTTGGCCGGGCCCGCTGTGGCGTTCGAGCAAACTTATGTTATGGGAGGACTTTCGGGAGATGGCCAGGCCCGCGGTGGCGCTCGAGCAGCCACATGTTATGGGAGAAGTGAAGGGAGGTGACCGGGCCCGCTGTGGCGCTCGAGCTTCCGACTTGGACATTTTGCTTGTGTGTCCTCGCCATCCCTCATCCCTTCCTCTCCTCATCCTCCCACTTGCCCCGCCCTCCTCCCACCTCCTCCCTCCTCCTCCTTCCTCCTTCGTCCGTCCGCCTCCCTCCTCCTTCCTCCCTCATCCTCCTTCTTCTCCTCCTTCTGCTCTTCCTTCCTCCTCCCCCCCTCTCTTCCCTGATTATTCCTCCTCTCTCCCGCCCTGCGTCCCCTCTGTTCTCCTCCCACCTCCTCTTGCCTCTTCCCTCATCCTTCCCCTCTTCATCCTGGGAAGACCCCCCTCCCCCGTAGAATCATAGAGTTGGTCTGCAGATCCACAGCTCCGTTAGGTCCCGGATGTTATAACAATTTTTGTTGTAGATTTATTCCCGGGAAATAAATGGATCCATCGTTTCTCACACACAGGAAATTGGATCCGCGCAACACAGAAATAGGATCCACGAAATCGCCCACACCCGAAAAGAGATCCATTTGGATCCATTGATGTGCTCATACTTTTAGTCCAAGAGGAAAAAACTTTCGGCCTGGGGGCGTATAAAGCTATAAGGCTATAGGGCTATAAGGCTAACGGGTACCCGGGCACCCGGGCACTCGGGCACCTGGGCAACCGAGCGCCCAAGCAACCGGGCACCTGGGCACCCGGGCACCTGGGCACCCGGGCACCCAGGCACCCGGGGCACCTGGGCACCCGGGCGTGCCGCCGAAATCGGCGCCACAACTAACCTAGCCATATGAATCGGCTAGGGCCCCTGCAGAGGCAAACTCTGATCGGGGAATGAATCCGCTAGGACCCCTACAGAGGCATGCTCTGATTGGGGAATAACTCGACTGCAGATGAGGTGGTGCATGTGATGCAACGTACAACCAGTGTCTGGATGTCTCGTGTCGTCTACTCTTTCGCTGCGGGCAGGCTTCTGGCGCCTGAGCTCCTCCAAGCTGAAAAAGAAATTCGGTGCCCGTCCGTGCCCCCACCCCGTCCCGCACACAGGGAATTCGTCCCCCTCCCGACCCCCCTTTCTCCCCTCCCGCCCCCCCTTTGGCGGTGACGCGTGTGTGCGGGCCGACCCCCTGACGCCGCACGTACTGCGCCAGGGGTGGTGGACATGTCCAGTGAAGTGACGTCATGACTGGCACGAAATCATTCCCACCCGTCCCGCCCCAAGTCGCCTCTGGAAACGGCATGGTGGCCTCCAATGCGGTCGGGTGACATCGCCCTATGGCTGAGGCTCCCGGCCGGCTGACGAGCCCTATGGTGGCCCTCGCCCCGACTCCACCCGCCCCCTCGCAAGAGGGAGGGCGGCGGATGAAGGATGAGCAGGACAAGGACGAGGACGAGGATGAGGAGGAAGCGGCAGGATGGAGGATGAGGAGGGACGAAGGGAGGGACGGGGGGAGGGAAGGAGGAGGAGGAGGAGGAGGAGGAGGAGGAAGAGGAGGAGGAGGAGGAGGAAGAGGAGGAGGAGGAGGAGGAGGAGGAGGAGGAGGAGGAGGAGGAGGAGGAGGAGGAGTAGGAGTTGGAGTTGGAGGAGGAGGAGGAGGAGGAGGAGGAGGAGGAGGAGGAGGAGGAGGAGGAGGAGAAGGAGTAGGGGAGGAGGAGGACGAGGAGGAGGAGGAGGAGGAGAAAGAGGAGAAATGGTGGAGGAAGATAAAGGAGGAAGGGAGGGAGGGCGGAGTGAGGAAGAAGACTTAGGGGGGAGGACGAGGAGAATAGAGGAGGACAGTACATGGAGTATTGAAGATGGAGGAGCGAAATCGCAGCAGCGGGCTCCTGCTGCAGTCACCGATGCCTCCGAGCTTGAGCCGCGCCGCCGCGTACTTGTTGAAGCCGGGGTGGCCGGGCGCCGGGTACGACTGGCTACTGCCCTCCGGAGGAGTAGAAGGAGGAGGCGGAGGAGAGTGACAGGAAGGAGCGGGAAAGAGGAACATGATGAGGGGAGTATAGAGAGGAGGCGGAGGAGGAGGAGGAGGCGGAGGAGGAGGAGGATGAGGAGCAGGAGGAGGAGGAGGAGGAGCAGGAGGAGGAGCAGGAGCAGGAGGATTAGGATGAGGAGGATGAGGAGGATGGGAGGATGAGGATGAGGATGAGGATGAGGATGAGGGTGATGATGATGCTGATGATGATGATGATGCTGATGCTGATGGTGATGCTGATGATGGTGATGCTAATGACAAGGCTAATGATGATGACGATGGTAATGCTGATGATGCTGGTGATGGTGATGCTTATGATGCTGGTGATGATGCTGACGATGATACTGATGACGATTATGATGCTGATGATGATGCTGATGTGGATGAGTATGATGCTGATGATAATGATGATGATGCTGCTGGTGCTCATGATGATGATGACGAGGATGCTGATTATGATGATGACGATGATGATGATGATGCTGATGATTATGCTGCTGCTGCTGATGATGATGATGCTGATGCTGCTGCTGCTGATGATGATGATGATGATGATAAGGAGGAGGAGGACGAGGAGGAAGATGAGGCTGATGAGAAAAGGAAGGAAGGATGATGATGATGATGAGGAGGAGGAGAAGGAGGAGGAGGAGAAGGAAGAGTAGGAGGACGAGGAGGAGGAGCAGGAGGAGGAGGAGGAGGAGGAGGAGAAGGAGAAGGAGAAGGAGGAGCAGGAGCAGGAGGAGGAGGAGGAGGATGAGGAGGACGAGGAGCAGGAGGAAGCCGAGGAGGAAATGGAGAAGGAGGAGGCGGAGGAGGAGGAGTAGCAGGAACAGTTCCTCCAGTACTTCTCGGCTTCTCACCAATGCTACCTTGCCTTTTTAATTTCTGGCGGCCGCTGCTGCTGCATGTTGCCACCTGTCTTTTGACTCGAGAGACGCCGCGGCCACTGATCGCCTACGCCGGGGTTCGCCGAACGGAGCAGGAGGATGAAGGGCAGAAGGAGGTGGAGGAGGAGGATGAGGATGATGCTGCTGCCGATGATGCTGATGCTGATGCTGATGCTGATGATGATGCTGCTGATGCTGATAATGAGGATGGTAATGCTGATGACGAGGAGGACGAGGACGACGAGGAGGGGGAGGCGAAGGCAATACTGATAATCACTGACGCGATCAGGGAAGAGACGACCTACAAAAAACCATCGAAGAAACCGTAGCGGACAAACGAAACACTATCAAGGTTCTTTCTGTCAGTAACACCACGGAAGGTTGCAAGGAGCAAAACCCTTACAACGAAAACAAGTGGGCCCGACCAATGCTAAAAGGCGACATTAACGCGCCATTCATCGAGCAACAGCTCAGGACCATCGAACGGGACGCAGGCCTACGATACGCTCAACGACCATGGGGAAAGCCGAAGCTACAACACAAGGCACATGAGCTGGTAAAGCACGCCAGTATGGAGCTGAGAGCCATGATAGAAATCTTCGACGTCTGTAAAGCAACAGGAATCCCTGCAAAGATCGAAGCTGGACAAGCAATCTACTTGAATAGCAAAGAGCTGCAACACTGAAGATGTATGCAAGGCGCCCGCGACACAGATGAACACACCATGATCAATGCGGAGATGGAGAAGGACATACACCAGAAAGCGACAGAGAAAGCGAACAGCACGACCCTTGACCTCGACCTTACATTCGAGCTGGAATGCGGAGAACAAGTAAAGTGGATCGGCGCCTGCACGACGACGACCCAGTTCGAGATCGTGGTGGAGCAGGGAGGTCTCCACCCTGAGTGGACCGCGTCGGCGGCCACTCACATCGGAGACAAAACGTCGCCTGAGTCTTGCTTGCTGGAGGGCAGTCGACGCACAGGCGTCTGTGAGGGAAATAGCCCCGACGCACCTGCCTTCGCGCCCGAGGCACGTGACGCCTCGGGGCGGACGTCGCCCGGCTTTGCCGCCTGTGGAGGGTAGCGCCCTGTGAGGGAGACATCCCCGACGACCCCGCCAGCCCCCGCCCGAGGTGTGCACTGCGCAGGGGTCGCGACTCCCACAGGGTACCAGCCTGGGGCGGACGTCGCCAAGTTTTGCCGCCTGTGGAGGGTAGCGCTTGTGAGGGAGACATCCCCGACGACCCCGCCAGCCCCCGCCCGAGGTGTGCACTGCGCAGGGGTCGCGACTCCCAGAGGGTGCCAGCCTGGGGTGGGCGTCGCCACGTTTGGCTACGAGAGCCGGCCAGCACAGGACACAACAGAGCGGCGACTGGGGCTGCCTCTAGGGCTACGGCATCCGCGACTACAATGGCAACCAGCGGGGCAACGGCCTCAGGGACGACGGCGACAACCACCACGACAAGGGCTTCCTCGACGACAGCTACAAGATAACGGAGGAGAGCCACAACCCAGAGGAGGAGGACCTCGAAGGCTCGTCACCACAGCGCCTGGCGCCAAAGGGTGGTGGCAGCCTCCCTGACCTCCGCAGCGCCGCTGGCGCCGAAGGGCGGGGTACAGGGTCGGTCAACAAAGACTTCCAGCAACCAGCCGAAGAGGGGCCGCAGGCCACCCCGCCCTCGGTCCAAGCCCGTACGAGGGGCTCAAGAGCTAGCCCTTCGGGCACCACAAGAAGGCGCTCGACAGTGACGCCTGCTGCACGAACAACAGGGTTGAGGACTCCCCCTCGGCGGTCAGCGTGCCGGCCCCTCAGGACACACCTAGGGGGTGCTGGCGGCCGCGAGGGGGGCGAGGTCGACTCCAACCTGTTACACCTGGCCCCGCGGGGGCTGCGCGTAGGCGGCCATCTAGAGGCCTCCCGTGACCCCGTCCTCCCTTCTCTTTTGCCCAGGAGGCCCCTCCCCTCGGCGATTGTTTCAGGCGTGCCGCTCGACGACGTGGTGCTCAGTGCACTGCTCGTCTCGCTCTTTGATGTGCAGCTGCTGGAGCTGGATCCCGTTTTGGTGCGCGACGTCGTGGTGCTTGATCCTGTGTGTGGTGTTGGTCCCTGGCGTGCTGTTCGAAGACGTTGTGCTCGTGGCGCCCTTCATTTTACCCGTAAAGGTGGAGCTATTGGTGCTCGTCTCCGTTGTTCTGGCGAGTGTCGGATAGCTGACAGGAGAGCCCAGAATCGAATCGACAAGTCGAATCGGCAATCGAAATAAATCGGATCGGCGGAAATCGGCAGCCGAGTCGGGAAAAGTCGAATCGGCGGACATCGGCGGGCTAGTGGGCCTCCGTCGAGGAAATCGGAGCCCAGATCGGAATCCCAAGCCGAATCGAATCGGAATCGGACGCCCTTAGAATCGAATCGGATCGAACCGGAGGAATCGAAACGAGCCCCGAGCTGGTGCCGCGCGCGCCGCGCAGAGCTTGGCGCTCGCTTCTCTGCCCATCACAGCGCGGGCGCGAGCCTTGGTGGGCTGGCCGCGACCGTGAGGGCAGGGGCGATCTGGCGCGTGCTCGCCCTAGTCAGGTTTCTGAGCTGGCGCGCTGGAAAGGTGCTCCTCCGCGAGGTGTGCCCAGACATGATGGCGTCGCAACAAAAGTCAGGACGGGACATTTTTCGCCGTTCTCGGCCTCCAGAGGCCCTCGCGGGGCCCTGGGACCGTAACAAAAACGACTCGGGATGAGAAACCGGTCCCGGGGAGAGGGTCGGGACTTCCGGGGACGCCGTCCTGAAAAAATCAGGACGTCGCATGTCTGGGTGGCGCAGTGGTCTTCCTGGAACGTGCGAGCCGGGGCAAGCTGGGGCCGTCGATCGCCCTGCGCCGGTGGCAGAAGCAAAACTGCGCTGCAAGGCATGGTCACGAGCGGTCCCGGCGCCCCTGTCGCAGCTGTGCGGGGGGGAGATTTGGGGCCGAGGGGGTGGCGGATCCCGCCCGCGAGGGCATATCCCTCGCTGTTCGGTGCGTCGTCGGTATCCTTCCCCATCACTTCTTCGGTCAGGAGCTCGCGGGGGGCGCTCGCGCGGGGCCTCCGCAGCGTCGCCCTCGGGGATTCTGGGGAGAGGTGGTTCGACGGGAGGTCGCGGTCCGCGTCGGCGTTTGCAGGCCTTGCTCAGGCGCTCCCACTGCTGCGATGTGAGCCCCGGGGTGCCCGCGAGCCCTGTCGGTGACGCAGTCGCTAGTGCGACGGCTGGCATCGGAGGTGCGGGCCCGTGCCCGGGCGCGGGCGTGTGAGCGAGCGGGCCTGGTGCCTCAGCCGCAGGTCCCGCCGTCGACGAGTCCGACGCCTCTGCTGACATGGGCCCTGACGTTGGCACCGTGTTGCCCCCTCGCCGGCTGCTGATGGGGAGCGAGGGATCACACTTGGCGTGGCGGGGGCGGCAATATCGCCACTGGTCAGCAGGACCACCACGTGTGCGGCCACTCACGGTGCCGTGTTGGCCGTTGCTGGGGCCCTTCGCCTGGGTGACGGCGGGCACCTGCGGTGCCTTCCTGGAGGGGCGGAGGCGCAGGTGGCGGGGCGAGGCCTGCGGTGTCGGGCAGCGCTTCGGCACTGGTGGACCTTTGCCTTCGCTCCGATGGGCCCGGGCTCGGCCCCGAGGCTGGACGGCCGGGCCCCCGCGCACCCGCGCTACCTGGCGCGCTCGCTGCTCGGCAGGTCCGCCTTGTCGCAGGGGCCCCTTTCGTCGGCCGGGTCGTCGGCCTGGGTCTTTGTCATGAAGGCTCCCAGGTGTGCGTTCAGGCTGGCTTGCTCTGCTTGGACGGAGGCGATCCCCTTGTCGAGCTGGTGGTATTGCCGGACCAGTGCGGCCTGACTGGTGGCCACGCTGCTCACCATGGCTGGAAGGCCCATTGCTATTCGTTTTCTTATTCTGGGTTTCGACACGTGGCCGAAGGGTGGGGCAGAAGGGTGTGTCTGGGTCTGGGCTGGTTCTTAGTCGATCTGTTTTCACCAGTCGCGCAAGCAGGCTGGCAGGGGGGTCCTGGCCAGTCGCCAAAAGCAGCCGCCAAAAAGAAGCCGCCCAACGCAGCCAAGATCTGGACTATGGGGGGGGGGGAGAGGGAGGGCCTGGGGCCTGCGCTGCTCGGCGAAACAGTACATACACAAAACAGTCGCGAGCATCTGTTGCTCTCCGCTTCGAGGCTGCGAAACCAGGCGGAGACCCATGGGCCGCTTGGTTGGGATAGCCAATCCGACCATTCTTCCCATTCTTCGTCCAGGTCTTCGTCGTAGCCTGGTGGTTCTCGACGCTCGGCGGGGTGTTGTGGGATGCTGCTAGTGTGTGTGTGTGTGTGTGTGTGTGTTAGAGAATCCCGTGGTCGGCACTCTTAGGCGTTGGCGCGATCGGAACGTCCAATTTGGTGCATCCAGGCTGATGAAAGGGCTGTGTCGTTAACTTGGTGGATAAGGCCGTGGACCCTGGTGGGTCACGGCTGATGCCCGTATTGTGTGTGATGGCAACATGCAGCTCTGTGCAGCTGGTTTTGAACTGCCTGTACAATTTCATCAGCTTGCTCCTGAGTCCAGGCTCGTTGGAGCAGTGTTGCTGGTAAGCGGCTTCGATGTCAGCTGAGTGCCTTTGGACTACCCGTCGTGGGCTGCAGCCCGCAGCAGCCCGGTCTGCGCCGCCACTGCTTTGGAGAGCAGCGATGCAAGCCTTCGTGCACACAAGAAGGCTCTCTGGACAGGAGCCTTGGCGGCCCTCGCCTGGTGACTTGGGCTGCAGTGGTACATAGGTCACGCGGCGAAGGCTCTCAAGAACCATCGCGGCGCGTGCGGGCATCGGGAATATGGGCATGACGGGAATCAATCACACCTTGGGATGCCGTGTCCCAGTCTCGCCATGCGCGGACAAAGCTAGTAGCTGCGCTGGGGGTTCGCATCGCGGCTGCGTCCTGGGTCAGGGACCCTTGAGCTGAGAATGCGGACGGGAGGAGAGAAGGAGGAGGGGGAGGAGGCGGAGCAGGAGGAGGAGGAGGCGGAGGAGGAGGAGAGGAGGGGGGAGGAGGAGGAGGAGGAGGAGGAGGGGAGGGGGGATGGGGGGAAGGAGGATGATGATGATGATGATGATGATGATGATGATGATGATGATGATGATGATGATGATGATGAGAGGAGGAGGAGGAGGAGGAGGAGGAGGAGGAGGAGGAGAAGGAGGAGGATAACAAGAATGAGGATGATGATGAAGATGCTGAGGATGCTGCTGATGATGCTGCTGCCGATGATGATGATGATGACGATGTATGATGATGATGATGCTGCTGATGATGATGCTGATGAGGAGGAGGAGGAGGAGGAGGGGAAGGAGGAAGAGGAGGAGGATAGGAGGAGGAGGAGGAGGATGGGGAGGAGGATGAGGATGAGGATGAGGATGAGGAAGAGGAGGCGGAGGAGGAGGAGAGATACTAGAGGATAGAGGAGAGAGGAGAGAGAATAGAGGAGGGAGGAGAGAGGAGAGAGAAGAGAGGCGAGAGGGGAGAGGATATAGGAGAGAGGCGAGAGGAGAGAGGAGGATGAAGGGGAGGAGGCGAAGAGATGAGAGAGGACAGAGGAGAGAGGAGGAAGGAAAGAGGTGAGGAGAGAGGAGAGAGGAGAGATGAAAGAGGAGAGAGGAGCGAGGATATATGAAGGATGGGAGATGAAAGAGGAGAGATGAGAGAGAGAGAGAGAGAGCGAGAGAGAGAGAGAGAGAGAGAGAGAGAAAGAGAGATGATAAAGGATACATAGGAGAAAGAGGAGAGGAGGGGCAGCAGGAGAAGCAGGAGAAGGAGGACAAGGAGGAGGATAACGAGGGAGGAGGGAGGAGAGAGGAGAGAGGAGGAGGAGAGGAGAGAGGAGACAGGAGAGGAGGAGAGAGGAGAGAGGAGAGAGGAGAGAGGAGGAAAAGGAGGAGGAGCAGGAGGGAGGAGGAGGAGGAGGAGGAGGAGGAGGAGGAGCAGGTAGGAGGGCAGGAGGAGGAGGAGGAGGAGGAGGAGGAGCTAGGAGGAGGGCAGGAGGAGCAGGAGCAGGAGGAGTAGGAGGAGGAGGGAGGAGGAGGAGGAGGAGGAGGAGGAGGAGGAGCAGGAGGAGCAGGAGGAGGAGGAGGAGGAGGAGGAGGAGGAGGAGGAGGAGGAGCAGGAGGAGGAGGAGAAGGAGGAGCAGGAGGAGGAGGAGCGGCATCTCATTGCGTTGGGGCGCAGACCCTGGCCTCGGAGCAGAGCTCGCGTATCCGGCGGCCGATCCAGACTAGTCGGGCAAGCCCAGAGCGCCCTCGGCGAGGCGCAGGTGCTGCAAAGCGTGCCCAGGCGAGAGCATTCCCAAGACCCGACAAACAAGTCAGAAATCCCCCGAGAGCCTCCAAGAACCAGCACGTTGGAGGCTCTGAGGGCGAGGATTGAGGGAGGGGGGCCTCCGAAATCTTCATCCTGCGCCTCTGCAGGCTGAGCCGACCGACCCTCGATCCTCGATCCTCGTTGAGGAAGAGCATCGATCGATCCTCGATCCTCGATCCTCCCCGATCCTCGATCCTCGACCCTCCTCGATCCTCGATCCTCGAACGATCCGCGAACGATCCTCGACCCTCTGGGGAGAAGGGCCTTCTCGATCCTCGGTCGATCCTCGGCCCTCCAGGGGAGTGGGTGGATCTGGCCGATCCTCGGAGGATCGATCGATCGATCATCGAACGATCCTCGATCCTCGAACGATCCTGGATCGATCTTCGAACGATCCTCGAACGATCACGATCGATCGATCCATCCTCGAAGGACCGAACGATCGATCCTCGATCGATCCTTGAACGATCGATCCTCGCTCGATCGCTCGATCGATCGCTCGATCCTCGAACTATCCTCGATGCATCCTCGATCGATCCTCGAACGATCCTCGAACGATCCTCGATCGATCCTCGAAAGATCCCCGACCGATCGTCGCTCCGTCGCTCGATCCTCGAACGATCCGCGACCCGTCCTCGAGCGATCCCCGATCGATCGATCGATCGATCGATCCACGAACGATCGATCGATCCTCGAACGACCCATCGATCGATCCATCCTCAGGGGAGGGGGGGGCCTCGCCTCCTCGATGAGGAGGAGGAGGAGGAGGAGGAGGAGGAGGACGAGGAGGAGGAGGAGGAGGAGGAGGAGGAGGGAGGAGGGAGGGAGGGAGGGAGGGAGGGAGGAGGAGGAGGAGGAGGAGGAGGAGGAGGAGGAGGAGGAGGAGGGAGGGACGGGGGGGGGGCCTCGCCTCCGGCATCTCCACCCCGCGCCGCTGCAGGCGCCCCCGCAGCGTCGCGGCGCACCACGCCCCCGCGGGCAGCACGGCCCGCCACGCCCGGCCCCACTCGTCCTCGGCGGCGTCGCCGCCGCCGCAGCCGCCGCCGCCGCCGCCGCCGCCGTCCTCTTCGTTTCGTCGCCGCCACTGCGATCGTCGTCGCCGCCGTCCTCGTCCTCGTCCTCGTCCTCTTCCTCGTCCTCGTCCTCGTCCTCGTCGATGTCGTCGTCGTCGTCGTCGTCGTCGTCGTCGTCGTCGTCGTCGTTGTCGTCCTCGTCCTCGTGCTCGTCCTCGTCCTCGTCCTTTTCCTCGTCCTCGTCCTCGTCCTCGTCGATGTCGTCGTCGTCGTCGTCGTCGTCGTCGTTGTCGTCCTCGTCCTCGTGCTCGTCCTCGTGCTCGTCCTCGTCCTCGTCCTCGTGCTCGTCGTCGTCGTCGTCCTCGTCGTCGTCGTCCTCGTCGTCGTCGTCCTCCTCCTCCTCGTCGTCGTCGTCTTCGCCGTCGCCATTGCTGCGCGCAGAATTTGGCGGCGTGAGGAGGCGGCTTTCTAAGAAGGCAAAGGGGGTGCTGAGACGAGCCCTCCGGGCTTCTGAGAAGCCCTCCAAAAAGCTACCTGCCCTCTTGGAAAGCCGCACCTCGTCCTCCTTCTCCTCCTCCTTTGCCCTCTGCAGTAGGCCTACGCTGTCAGAGTCTCGTCCTTGTCCTCGTCCTCGTCCTTTTCCTGGTCCGTCTGGTCCTCGTCGTCGTCCTCCTCTTCCTCGTCGCCGTCATCGTCGTCGTCGTCGTCGTCGTCGTCGTCGTCGTCGTCGTCGTCGTCGTTCTCCTCCTCCTCCTCCTCCGCGCGCGCTCAAGCCCGTGTGGGAGCGCGACGACGACGACGCCCTGGAACCCGAGCGTCCTCCGCGACGGGGGGCTGCCTCGACTCGAACATGTCCTTCAGCCCGCGCATCCCCTTCTCGTCCAGCGCCTCTGGCGAGGACGCCAATCATAGCGCCGACACAGATCTATCGAAGGAGAGTCGGATGAACACAAGCTCTCGGAGCTCCGCTCGGACCTCTCGGATCGGCGCAGGACCCCTGCGCCAGGGAGGCGGGCCCAGCGCCGACCAAAGAGAAGTCCGCGCGGCCCTCTGAAGAGTTGTGCTTCTGAAGCTCTGTGTTCTCCCAGGAGAGAGAAGAAGATCGGGGATCGAAATTCTCGGGAGAGAGAGAGAGAGAAGATCTTTTTTGGAAGATCTAGAAGAACTTCTTCTAGGAGAGAGAGAAAGCTCGGGAATCGAAATGTTCGGACTCCTCTCGTCCTGCTTGGGCCTCCAGAGGCCTCGGGTCGCCACCGGGTGGCAGCGCCACCCGGGAGGGCGCCAGCCGCAGCACCGGCACGGAGCCGAGTTTTTCTTCCCCACAGCCTTGAGATCTGGGCGCTGCATTTTTTTGTTTCACACCGGGCGTTTTCGGCCGGTTCCGGGCCTCGGGGGCCATCAAAAGTGGATGTGGCTCGACGACTGCAGCAGCAATGTGGGGTCTGAGGCTCTTGCATCCTCGCGACGTCGCGATTTTTCTGCAACGTCGGATCTCAAGAGACACGCGACGAGGATGATGACTCCACCCGTAAGCACCGCACATCACGACGGCACGGCTGCGCAGGAGCGTGAGATGGAGGGGCGGCTGATCGTCGCCGAACCGCCCGCGTCCGCATGCAGGAGGATCGAGGAGGGGGAGGATCGAGGATCGAGATCATCGGACACCTGTCGTCAGCGTCGAGTCTCGCCTCCTCCTCCTCCTCCTCCTGCTCCCCCCGACTCCTCCGCCCCTCCTTGCCTCCTCCTCCTCCCTCCTACTTCCGAGCCTCCCCCGCTCTCTCCCCCTCCTCCTCCTCTTCCTCCTCCTCCTGCTCCTCCTCCTCCTCCTCCCTTCCTCACCCCGAAAGATCAAGGCAGCCCTGAAGGCCGACTGTCTTGCCCTGATCTCTGTGACCAGGCGCCCGGCTGGACGCGCGCACGCCCGGGGAACTCCCAGCGCTTCCCCGCGCTGCTGGCCGTCCAGGCCGCTTTTGCTCCACCCCTTGCGGGGGTTGGACAAGACTCTTTGGCCGTGTCCGTGCCGTTTTTTCCCGGCCGTCCTGTGGTGTTGGGTCCTCGTTTTGAAGAGACAGCGCCCCGCGTCTCCCTCCCTCCCTCCCTCCTCCCTCCTTCTCCTCCTCCTCCTCCTCCTCCTCCTCCTCAGCGGGAGCAGGCGGGAGGAGACGCGACTGGGTTGGGAAACATCAGCGTGCACATTCGGAGCGCGCCCGAGGCGGCGTCGGAGGCGCCGCCGGGGGGTTCGGGCGCTGGCCCCGGCAATCCGCGCGGAGCGCCACAAACTTATGTGTTTTTCCCAACCATCCTGTGGTGTTGGGTGCTCGTTTTGAATAGACAGCGCCCCGCGTCTCCTCCTCCTTCCTTCCTTCCTTCCTTCCTTCCTCCTCCCCCTCCTCCCTCCTCTCCTCCTCCCCCTCCTCTCTCCCCCCCCTCCTTGCCTTTGCTCTTGGCCTTGCCTTGCCTTTGCTCGCGGTACTCTCTTCTTCGGCAGACGTCGAAAACGGCAGAACACCGAGCAACGCGATCTTTGAAAGTCGCTGGGCCTCGTCGAGGTCGATCGCCTGCTCGCCGTCCAAGTCGGCCTCCTCGTCGTCCTCGTCCTTTGGGTGGGCTGCCCAGGGCATTCTGGCAAATACGGCAGATGGAAAGGACGAGAGGAGGAGGAGGACGGAGGAGGAGGAGGACGAGGAGGAGGAGGAGGAGGAGAAGGAGGAGGGGGGGGAGGGAGGGAGGGAGGGGAGGGAGGGAGGAGGGCGGAGGAAGAGGAGGAGGCGGAAGAGGAGGCGGCGGAGGAGGCGGAGGAGAGGAGGAGCAGGAGGAGGAGCGGAGGAGGAGGAGGAGGAGGAGGAGGAGGAGGAGGAGGAGAGGGAGGAGAAGGAGGAGGAGGAGGAGGGGCGAGAAAGAAACAAGGCGGCACGCTGGCGTCGCGTCCTCCTGCTCGCCGCTCTGCGGCGGCGCAGCGGCCGCGCCGCCGCGGCCGCCCTGTGGGCGCCGGCGGGGCTTCGCCGCTCGCGGGGGCGCCCCAGCTCTGCGGGCGGTGCCCGCGGCCTGTAGGGCTCCTCCTCCTCGCTCCTCGCTCCTCGCTCCTCGCTCCTCGCTCATCGCTCCCCGCTCCTTCTCCTCCTCCTCCCTCTCCTCTCCATCCTCCTCCTCCTAGTAGTCTCGAAATAGTCGTAGTGGTTTTACAAGTAGTAGTAGTAGTAGTAGTAGTAGTAGTAGTAGTAGTAGTAGTAGTAGTAGTAGTAGTCGTAGTCGTAGTAGTAGTAGTAGTAGTAGTAGTA